GGCGGTGCCCCCCCTCGGGGTCTGCGGTGGTCGAGCGCGGCCGCCTGTGTCTCGAGGACCTGTACCAGCGGCCGGAGAAGCTGGTCTTTGTGGTTTCCCACTCTGGCTTCCTGAGGGTGGGGTGCGTGGGCTGGTGGTTCTTCAACAGCGACTATAGGATCTTCGAGTTTGAAGACGGCATCGGCCAGGACGGGCGGCGCGTTGTGCGACAGGACAAGAGCACGCTGGAGGGCGGCTTGGGGCTTTCTTGGACGGAGAGGGTTCCCCTCGGAGACGGGTTGCCCGATTTGTGTAACTGAGCCCGCGGGGGGCGTGCTCTTTGGGAAGCATGGCTTGGGGCGTACATTTGTTGTTTCCACGATATCATGGTCTAGCAAAATACTACAGGTGCATGTTTTGCTGACATGGCCAAAGTGATCGAATCTGACTGACGCCTGGAGCATTCCAACACCTACACTGCGTTATCGGACTACACGAGGCAACGTGCTGGTGTGCTCTAACAACAGGGTATGGCTGTTGGAATGTCCCATGCCTCGGTCAGGTTCGGCTGCTTTGGCCCATGTCAGCAGGTGACTCAGGGAACTTAGCAGAAGCGAGGTCTTACGGGTACTTGGGTTCGCGGACGTCAACTTACAATTATACCAGGGTCCTTATTATAGGAAGAGGAAAGGAACCACGGATTACTGACGAGCGTAGAACTTATGATATATGTTATGTGCGGCTATAACGAGTCTTTGGAGTTGGTCGCTTGCACGTAAACTACATTTTACTTTTATATATTAGCTGAAGCGATTATGAGATGGCCTTTGCCGGCGCGGAATTATGCCGCGCTATGCCGCAGCCATGAATTATAAACCTATAAGCTTTTCATATTATGATGCGTGTTTTTATAGTATTTTATTTAGTATATTACGGTTCTTTAGTTCAAGGACAACTAGGCACATGGTGTTACATATTAGGCCTTACCTGATGCAGTGCTAGCACGAATATTAGGATGCGTTGAATTAAAAAAAAATGAACAAGTGCGTTACTTTGACAGGAAGCTCTGAAATGCCTCCTGGTCAATAACGACATTGCCTACGGCTCGTAGCCTCTTTCGACCTTCCTTTTGCTTCTCGAGTAACTTTCTCCGCCGCGTGATGTCGCTGGCGTGCAGTTTGGCGAGGACGTCCTTGCGGAAAGGCTTGATTGTTTCGCGGGCTATAATCTTGTTGCCGACTGCTGCTTGGATAACGACCTCTGTTTGTGGTTAGCCTCGGCAAGCTTGGGCGGGCGAGTCATTGTAGGAGCGTACCAAACATTTGCCTGTCGACATGCTGTTTGAACTTGGTGACCCATTGTCTGCCAATACGGTCGGCCTGCGAACCGTGTACAACACGGCAGATTGCGTCGACGGGCTGCTTGTTGACGAGGAGTTGGATCTTGGCGAGTTTGCTCTCCCGCCAGCCGGCGTCTTCATAGTCCAGCGTGGCATATCCCTTGCTACCATGAGTTAGCATACCATCTGCGACCTGTGATCAAGGTACGACACGTACGTAGCGCCCTTCAGCTTGCCAAAGAAGTCTTCCACCAGCTGCGCGGATGGTATGTTGTACACCAAGATAACCTGCGTTGTGTGAAAGAACTCTAGACTCTGCTGTTCGCCGCGATTTGCTTCACAAAGTTCAATTACTCGTCCGAGATATTCGTGCGGGAGCGTCATGGTTGCCTTGACATATCTATACTGCTGTGAGCTTCCCTGTTCCGCTGTGAAAATGGGTCATACGTACGGTTCGAGTGTCTGGGACATTCGAATCCGGTGGTCAGTTGCGTCTGGAAACAAGGCTGGGTTCTGAATTATCTCTTCTGATCCATCCGGCCAAATAACTTTTGTTGGGACAGTAGGCTCGGTAATGATGATGCTTCGGCCATGCTCTTGCTTCAGGCGATCCTGAAACACTGAACAATGTAAACTGCCGAGAAATCCTAACCGCCAACCCGACCCCAGAGCCTCTGAGAAGTCCTTTTGTAGCGTGACACTTCGGTCATTCAGCACAAGCTGATTAATGCTGTCCGCCAAACGAGTATAGTCACTTTGGTCGGTAGGGAATGCAGCAACAAAAACCATGGGCTTAGGCTCTTCAAAGCCCGGACAAGGTTCAACAGCATTCTCACAGCCAACCGTCGTAAAGGTATCGCCAAGCTTAGCATCCTGTATTCTCTTCATGCCCGGATTAAAATACACGTAGCCAACTTGACCGGCTCGGAGGACTTTTTGTGGCGTTCCATCGGGGTACTGTATGCCGACCTGTCCAACTGTGTACTTCATGCCTGTGCCCATGGAGACCACGTTATCCCCAGCCCGTATCGTGCCATTGAATACTCGTACGAGTAGGACCACGCCTCGGAAATTGTCATACCACGAATCCACAAGCAGGAACTTGAGTGGCAGGTTTTCGTCGCCAATAGGATGGGGTATTTTCTCAATCACAGCCGGTAGAATCTCCGGGACTCCTTTGCCTGTTTTGGCGCTTACTAGTATGGCATCCTTGGGATTCAGTTCAAAGCTAGTTTCCATCTGGTCCAAGACTCGGGGAACGTCTGCCGAAGGCATGTCGATCTTATTAATAACCGGAACAAGAGCCAGGTCCTGCGCGAAAGCAAGGTGGAAGTTGGACACGGTCTGCGCTTGAATACCCTGACTTGCATCAATAAGAAGCAGGGCTCCGCCACAACTAGCATATGATCGAGTCACTTCGGCGCGGAAGTCGACGTGGCCGGGCGTATCAACCAAATGAAGCAAATAGTCTTCTCCGCGATATTTGTACAACATTGTGCATGTTTGCGCCTTGACCGTAATTCCGCGTTCGCGCTCGACGTCCAGCTTGTCCTGATTTTGGCCTCTATTAGCAACTACCTCTGCCCTATGTCAGTCCACCAGGTCCCGTCTCAACGCACCAAAATCTGCTTGTTTGCATCACTCGGCGATATTGTGCCAGTATGCTCCAACAATCGATCACTCAGCGTGCTCTTCCCATGGTCAATATGTGCCACGATGCAAAAGTTTCGATAGCGCTCTATGGGGATGGCGGCAATTCGTGCTTCAAGCTCGGCTGGCGTTGGTTTTGCGGTCGAAGCGAATGCGCGGCGGAGGATGGGTTGTTGCTCGAAGAGGGCGGACCTTGCTGACGGTAAGCATTGTCGCGCCCAGACTCTTCCAGCTCTCCACGCCAAGGTCATCTAGGGAATTGGAAATGTGAACGCATGGGCGGTGAATTGGCTGTTGATGGATGTCCAAAAAAAAAAAAACGGATGGAATTGATACTCGGTGCTCCGTACGGTGTACATGGAGTGCAAAACCGGGCCAGGGTCTGGAAGCCTGATTACATAATAGAGCCAGGCACCTTGACGCCTTACACTTGGGGCTTTCAACAACAACCGAGTCCCCCGGACTATTAAACATTGGTTAGTTAAGGCAGAAGTGCGGCACGCAAGGCTTGACAGTAAATCTTCTCTATTCTGGTCACCCAATTGGTCAATGTTCTATATCGGGTTGATTCGGCATTCTACTGAATCGCCTTGGGTCCTTGGATCGTGCTCCGCTCTTTACGGACTCTACCAGGCGACGCATTTATATGTTACAAGGGGTGAAACTCGAGGATGGCGCAGCGGGGCTTAGCTCTCTCTCTCTCTTGGCTTTGGACGACAATGTGGTTGTTCGTTTTGACAAGAACGCGCCGGCGGAGCGCTAGGGGGATGGCGGTAAAGTCGCGGGCAGCTACACTCTTAAGGGGGTTTGGCGATGGCGACGGCGGGAACACGGCGGGAATGGCGGCTTCGGAAACCAAGACCAGATTTTCTTCTCTAGGGTTTCCATATGCTGTGCAACTGCAACGGACAAGGCGCTGTTGTTGTGCGCGGCAATTTCAAGCTTGGGCTCCTCATTGGCAAGACTAATGGTGGGCGAAAGTAGTATCATGAGAGTCTGGGGAATGCCGTACGTCTCTGGATACAAGGTGAATTACCAATACCCTGGAGGCTGAATGATTGGTTCGAAGGTAGGCCCCGCAGACGGACGACGCCTTCTGCTTTTTAAAGTAGCTGGCTTAATAGTGTGGTATTCTTCGGAATCCGGCTGGTGTTGCGGGCCATTTAGCGGATAAGTCTCATCAACGTCAACTGGAAGAAAGAGAGAGAGAAGAAAACAACTTATCTGACTAAGTAAAACCTCAAGAATGGCCATTCGCAGTTGGGTGTTTTCAGCTTGCGTGCCAGCAATGAATTAGGTTGTGAGGGCCATCTTGAGATGCTTCCTGGCCTTCCTCTGGTGATTGACTGCTACCATCTGCCACTCGGAGGAAGGTTTATTGGAGCCATTATAGCTGGAGCCATTATAGGTGGAGTCGTGCAAATGGAATGCACTCTTGGAGAGCAGTGTCGAGAGGGTGCTGTGGCGCGTATGTGACGATGTGTTCCCGAGTGATATCTCAGCAAAGTTTTGGAGAGCATAGGGTAGCACTAACAGCTTCCATGGACACACGCGACTCTTTGCAAAAGCGTGTGGCGGCGAAGAGCAAAACACTTCGGCTTTGAGATGGCGAAGCAACGCAGTTACATGTTCTGGCATTGTACGGTCGCATAGCACCTTGGCGCTTATCAAGGCAACCATAAATCTCCCTGGGTCTCGCGTGGCTGTGTTACCAGTACTACCTGCAAATGTAGCACCGTAATGCCATTCTTAATGCGATAGCTGCCGAAGCCGAGCGTGCCGTCAAGGCTAAACGATGTTGCGATACGACATAAGGACAAGCTAGGCTCCATAGTATTGCATAGCCAAATCCCTAGCGCATTGATTTCATATTTCTATCGGCGTGTTAGCTGACGTGCTAGGCGGTCTGATATCTGCTAGTTGACTGGCTACCGGCACCTATATTAGGGTTGACTGTTTGTATAGGGATGATGAAGCTAATCTGGGGAATAGCTCTTCAAGGACAAAATTCCGGGGCATCGTTAATAGTTATTAAACATTCTCCATAGAATTCTTGGCGACCCGCACCTACACGCCGCTCAACTAACTGCAGGTATAATGGACAAGCGGCTCGAGTCATACAAGTTTGACCTTGGCATCATAACTAGCCATACGTTAAGTATCAAAAAGGTTATTGGAAGAGCAAACTTGTCCAGCGCAGAGAGCGTTTTGAGCCAAGTGGAGAAGAAAATAGGCTCAAGTATTCAGTTAAACGAATAGTTAAGTTATAGAGTTGTGGCTGTATATAAAGGGCTGTATTGGGCTAAATGTAGTCCAACAGCTCAGTGTAGCAAAAGTGACTATATTCTTTGATTCGCGGAAGTAGTCTGCCCTTACCAGGTAGGTAATAGCAACTAGTCTCACCCCATCCCTTACGACATCAGTTCTCAGGAAAATTACTGTTCGAGAACACAATTTGATACGCTACAGGGGGTCGGCATTCGGATTTCTTGTGTTTATCACGAGGTAATAGTGCGCTTGGCTATGTGCAAATAGCGTGCTAGTAGCTCTAGTAAGCACTTTTTACAAGTAGCACTGCGTCTTTAATATTACATCATCGCAAAACATGCATAAACGTTCTAAATCATATCCCTCGTACGGAGTAATACTATTTGATTTGCTTTCATGCTGCACCTTGTTATAATGAGCTACTAATATTACTGTGGATTAGGTGGAATCCTTTATTAGAGGTGATAGTTTGGAATCATGGTATGCTTATCTTTTTCTTCCTTCGCATTTTGCTTCAATGTTACCGTATGTATAGCCAAGAACCAGACTAGTATTATGATACAGGACGCCCATATATGCGTGCTGAACTGATTCTCGTGATTTCACTACCACCTGGCATGAATTCGAGATTGTCTCCTGGCATTATAGCAGGTATGGCCGCCTGTGTGTCACAAGAGCTCTATGGGGGCTTGGAGCAATATCTCTATTCATTTAATAACAGTCTTTCATGTTAAAGGTCCTTAATGTTTCTCAAGTCCTCAAGAGACTAAAGATCTCTCTAAATATAAGGAGTCGGTGAGGGCCTTTGCCCTAGGTCCCGTGATCGTAGCCCTCGTGTAACCGTGTGATGTGTGTATGAGACTACCCTCCAAGTTCTCCAGTCTACCTTGTTGACATTCACGAACTATGAATAATTTGGCTTCCGAGCGTGAATAGACCATTCAAAAGTCGTGCCTCGACGTTTTACATATCGGAAGAGTATATAAGACTGACCCTCCGGCTCTGTTACAGACTCGGTTTCTACAACTGCCAATATCAACACATAAGTTAATTCCAACTACTTCCTTTTGAATCATGTTCACTCTACCAGCCGTTGTAATTCTCCTCAGCGGGATCTTTAATCGAGTTTCCCACGCATCCGCCGTGAGACGTCAAGACGCCTTTCTCCAACAATACGAGACCCAGGCGACACAGCTGCTCGAGAAAGTCTCGCGTGGCATCCAGTGCCACAAAAGACTACGTACCACAAATCGATGCCACCAGCCCCCCAAAGGCAGCGGTGCTATCTAGCCTAGACGAGTGTGACGCATCTCACGACGCTGTCTCCCTCCATCTCCGAGATGCCCGCAACACGGCTCAGCAGCCCAACTTCCCCGTAGACAAGCTCCACGATCAAAAGCTACCTGACGTGTTGGACACACGGGAGACCCAACAGGGAGAATACACGGAGAACTTGCATACGCAGCTTAAGCAGCTCAGTGAAACCGCCGCCGCCTCCAAGGCGTATCAGGCTGGGATAGCTGCAGCAACTAAAGTCGCCGAGGAACTCAAGAAGCAGGCCAAGGACCGACAGATCGACGTTTCAAATGGTAAAGTAGAGTCACAGAGGGGCTCTAACGGGGCCGTCACCGGGCTCGTAGTGACGGGTGTGGTGATTGCCGGAGTGCCTATTGTAGGGGAAGTTGTGACCTTGGACCTTTTGTGACGGCGGCAACAGAAGTCGCCGGTGCCACGGAGGCTCTAGACGAGGCCGTGACCACGGCGTCCAGCACCCTGCAGCAAGTTTCGAATACGCCATTGCAGCAGGTGGCTGTTAGCCAGCTGACGCAGCTACGAACCGCCGTCACGACAGCTACAAACAAGCTGCTGTCGGCGAGCGAACGTGTAGATGGCATGGCGGCCCAACTTGCCAACGTTCCGGAAGCTGAGGCGGCAGAGGCCCAGGCGATTGCCCAGACACATAATGCTGCATTCGACCAGGCTAACACTACCTTGAGTGAGGTCGTAGATGGTTACACGGCGCTGAGAGATTCCATTATTTCCCAGATTTAGGCGCGGTCAGGAGCACCTAGTGTGCTGCTAATTATATTGTATGTAGTTTGTGGACAATGTAACACAGCCTTGGCATAGGTCTTTACCCTATTATAAGAGGGGTTTCTCCTAGACCACAATGCAAGTGCAGAGGCTATACGGTGACATAGGAGGGGCTTAAGACGATTAGAATGTATTTACTTGTTTACGAATGTATCTACTATATTAAGCTAATAACTACTAAGGGGACCAGCTCTACCCGCCTGTAGGACTAGAGGTACAACATATTGGCTTATTCTGTAACATTTAAACGTATCCTATGATATTGGCACGGCGTGAAATTTTTTTGCGAGAGTGTTATCCGTCTACATAGCAACTGTTCCAGGTCAACTATTAGACAAACTTGGTGAGCAGTCGCTCTGGAGGAGAAAAGATGCAAGCTTTCTGCCTTTCAGGAGGCGTTTCTAACAGGTCGTAAGCCTAGCAGACGAAGTTTGTGGCGGGTTTCGAGCACACTAAATCAGGAATTGCGGAATTCGCTTTTGATAATAGTTCATGTGTAAAGGAGCTGTTCATGCCACAACAACCTTTTCAAATACCAATAGCCTGCTTTTTTTTTCTCAAATGAAGACCATGATATTATGGCTCAACCGTGGCCCAACCGGTCTGCCATTGTTATTAGGATATCAAGCATAGTAGATCTTACAGCTGATGGGGGGACCTCCACTTCTGCCTCAGCAACCATCAAACATGGGGAGTAGTGCCAATATTCTAGATTTTAGCAATGAATACCGCATTCTCAGGGATAATATGGTAGAAATACTCAAAGATAAAGGGCAACTACAAGTGTGGGTGCGCCAAAAAAAAAAAAAAAAAAAAAAAAACTAAAAACTAAAAACTAAAAAAAAACTGGTGGCACAGGGTTGAATTGGTTGGGTACCAATGGCTGTCTGCAGCATCTGTCATATTACTCGCGGGCCGTTCCGACATTTTCTCGAGACTTGCATAAAGCCCACAATCTCGGGTGTCTTTTTCATCGTCATAAAATCTACGGCAGCACATCAATCGGCAATCCGGCATGGACTTGTGTCAAGCATCACGCCCTACTTCGCGCCGCGGCTTCGAGATTGCCATCATCTGCGCCCTCACCCTGGAGGCCGATGCCGTTGATGCGCTCTTCGACATGTATTGGGATGACGATGGCCCGCCCTTTGATAAGGCGCCGGGCGATCCCAACGCCTACTCCATGGGCGCCATCGGCCGCCACAACGTTGTTCTCGCACATATGCCCAGCATGGAAAAGGCCAATGCTGCCATGGTGGCGAGTTACTGCCGGATGAGTTTTCCAAGTGTCAAGCTCATTCTGCTGGTTGGTGTCTGTGGTGTTGTTCCCTTTGGACCCAACAATGATGAGATTGTGCTTGGGGATGTTGTTGTTAGTGATGGTATCATCCAGTATGACTTTGGGCGGCGGCTTCCAGACCAATTCAAGCGAAAAGACACGCTGTTAGATTCTCTAGGACGACCAAGCCTTGAAATAAGGGGTTTGCTGGCGAAACTCAAGGGGCTGAGGGGCCGCAAGAAACTCGGCACTGCCATGGCCAAGTACCTCGGCGAACTGCAAAGGGAGCCGCTCCTAGCTGCTCAGTACCCGGGTATAATACACGACAGGTTGTTTGAGGCTGCATATCGCCATGTCGGAGGCCAGGCGACGTGTGAGCAACTTGGATGTGATGGGAATCTGACACCCCGTCAACGCCTCCATGCCAGTCGAGGGGACCTTGAGCCCGCTGTGCATTTTGGTCTGATTGCCTCTGGTGACTCGGTTATAAAATCTGGCCAAGAGCGAGATGCTATCGCGGCCAAGGAAGGTGTCATTGCGTTTGAGATGGAGGGTGCTGGCGTCTGGGATAGCTCTCCTTGTGTCGTGATCAAAGGCGCGTGCGACTATGCAGACAGCCATAAAAATAAGCTGTGGCAACACTACGCCGCGGCGACGGCGGCGGCTTGTATAAAGGCACTCTTGAGCTACTGGGTGTCTTCAACACCCGATGGTGCGTGTCATGTTCCTAGCCGAGGTGGTTGAAGCTAACCCGAGGAGAGACAGAACCAACCCCAAGGTGGGCAGCTGACTGTTATTGTATGTATCTCGGTGATATGACACTCCTGCTTCGTTGTATAGTAACCGATATAGTTCCCATGCCGCAGTCAGAAGACGATGAGACTTCACTTGGCCGCAGCACAGCCCTCAAGAAGCCCCCGACGTCCCGTAATGGCGCTAAGCCGGTCGTTCTTCGAGGCGGTTCCGCCATTGGAGGAGACGCAGTTAATGATGATCTGGGAGGCACAGCCGAGGGCGGCTGCGCTGCTGGAGGCGACGTTAAAATCTCGTCGCCCTCTTACTGGGGCGCGGCGTCGCTGGTGGGAGGAGATGGTACAGGAGGGAATGCGGTTGGTAGCAGGTCAGTTGGGGGCAGCGCCGTTGGTGGAAACGTGCGATGGATGTGCTCCGAGGCCATGGTATAATTTACGTAGTAAACGCGCTCCAGGCTATACCGACTTTAGACATGAATTCTGGGCCAATCACATTGCGAAATCTAGCCGCAGCCGCCGTTCCCGCCGTACCTGCCAAGACGACGTTGCCAGCGACTTTACCACCACCAACCAAGCTTGGATCACGGCCCCGAAAGAGAGGAGCATCATCCAAGGACCTACCTTGATCTGAACCTTGCCATCGGGCCTCTTGGCCTACGTTTGACGATGAGCTATTATTATTCTGGATATGGTAAAGATACTATTGGCATTCTCCTCCATGTTTTGTAAGCTGACATTCCAACACCAGTGTTTCCCCAACGACGTCGTCCTTTCAATACCTTTGGCTACGCACGTAGGCCCCTCTCTTCAGGGGGTTATAACAAGGCTGGGTCGATTGTCTCCCGTAAAGATCAAAAAACAGCAGCGTTATCCAGGGCGATGAGCTCAACTTCACAGAGTTGTTGGTAATGGCGGTCCCTGCAGTCATGAGGGGGTGCGTGTAAAAAGCTCTAGGTGATAACCAGCGGTGAAGCGACAACCAAGAGTGAGGCGACTCTACCGACATGTACGGAGGCAGCTCTTGAGATCAGGTTCTGATGGAGGCAGCTGGTCGTGTGACCTTAGGAACAACTATGTTAATACGTGAGCACCCACAGCTAGCCATTCCAGCTCAAAAAAACACCAAGACGAGCGCGGAAGTTTGAGCTGGCCGTATGGAAAATGGGTGCCCGAGAAGCAGATGCCGTTATGTCGAGAGTTTCTACTTTCCCATGGCTTGCAGAGATGCATGTGTGGTTGCTACTTCAAGGGTGCTAGAGGCAACTTGTTCCTGCTAGTAAGTTTTTTTTTTTTTTTTTTTTTTTTTTTTTTTTTTTTTTTTTTTTTTTTTTTTTTTTTTTTTTTTTTTTTTTTTTTTTTTCTTCTTTTCAGGTCAGCTTCGGTGTATGTCGTTACGGACATGACACTTTTGGAAACAAGGCTTCCCTTTTTACACTTTTTGCAACATGTATTACGCAACACACCCCCGGGCAGCTCGTAGAGTCTGCGCGCAATACGCCAGTCCAATACATCTACTTCAAATCTCAACGCCTAGTAATATAAAACCACGCTCGCGTCCTCACAGTAAACCTATCTGAAGCTCACACGAGATAAACTTGCTTACTCTAACACATATCTCTTGTCGCAATGTCTGGAAAAGACGAGATTCACTTCAAGTGCACTATTCAAGGCCTCCACGGGGAGGGTACGTACAGCGTCCCAACTCACTCAAGACAAGCTCTCGTTGCTTCTCAATTATAACAATGATTAGACCCGCTCAGGCAAGACTTGGATCTCACCGAGAAGAAATCCGTGCCTCGCAGGGTATTTGCTGCCAAGATTCGAAGCAAGTATGGAGTTCCGGGTGAAATAACCCTTCACCGCTCCGTAAGAGGCAAATCCGGGTTGGTCCCCGGCCAAGAGATAAGAGATGACAACTTAACCCTGGAGAGCAACGAGACTATATTCGTTCTGTACAATAAGGAAGTCGTTGTTATAGCGGGGGGCGCGGGCACCGGGTCGGAGGTGGTCTCGAGAAACAGCACACTGGCTCTGGCTGAAGGCGGTGTCGGCGAGGGCGGAAGAATGGATGCTCATGGCAACGCGATGGGAGGGAACGGCTTCGGGGGAGACGCCTACGGGCAAGACGTTGAAGGGGAAGCCGGAAAGGGTTACGGTGGCCCTGTAAGCCTTTCCATTCCCGACGTAAATATGACGTCTGGGGTCGGTGTAGGTGGTGACTTGGTGTTTAGGGATCCCGCCACTGCGCCTCGCTCCTCCCGTATCGTTGTCAAGAAGTGAGCTACAAGACATGATTTGCAAACAAGGAGATTTCTTCGGCGCGTCTGCCAATCCATGTGCAGAAATGGAACCAGCATATCCGTCACAATACACGTACCTCATGCTACTGGTTACTCGCAAAAAAGGCGACGAGACCCATGCACCATGTGGTCAGGAGACAGCTGCCACCACAGCCTGCATCCATAATTACTCACCGGTAACATGTTGTACCACCCGCAGACCAGCCTTACTGCACGACAAAGAATTTCTTGCGTTCCCACTCGCGGCTGCAGCGCGTACAGAAGTGATGCAGGTCAGCCAATGCACACAAAGCGGGCGAACAACGTTGTAAGGCGCCGCTGTGAGTAATACCGGCTCCGCGCAGTGCTGCCATGGATAATCACAACAAGGCCGGTGATTGCATTCACTAGAGGAGGCATAGAGGCACCGGGCGACCCGTGATGTTAATAGGACCATGGACTCTTCCCCAAACTACTCCTCGTTGATACAAACCCCTTACGCCTCAAGGAAGCAAATGCTATCCTAGTAACTTCTCTCACCAGCGCCTCACAACCACCGGATGTTCCTCCCGCCGCCACCAAGCTCGACGGCCACGAAAACCAGGAGACGGCAGCGTCACGGTGGAAGGCATGGCCACCCTCCGAGCGCACAGGGAAAAGGCGTTTCAATACCCCGGTGGCCTCGAGAAAACCCGGTACACACCTGCTCCTCTCACGGAACACAAGCTGCTTAGCAAGAGCTACGATGGAGAAGCCCCGAATCGCACCGTTGGAATTGTCCTCGGCGTGGTGCTGGGTGTCTTCTTGGGTACTATTGCGGTCCTATGTATCTGCCAGTGCAGCAATACTTGGCCTCGCACCCGCACCGGGCGACGTCACCAAAGACTGAAAGTGCTCTTGTCCAACGTCACGGCTGTCTCGAAGCGGGATGGAGATTCCGGAGAGCCGGGCGGTACGGGGCAACCGGGCCTCACAGAAGGACCGGCCGCTTCAACAGGGATCGCGGACGCGTCCCCGCCAAGCAGCGAAAAGCACGCGGGCGGCATGGGCAGCCCTGCAATTAGAAGAGATGATCCCATCTGTACTAGTAGTGCTCATTGCGCAAATGATCGAGGCTCAGTACAAGGAGGCAAGGGCATCGGCGGGTCTGCGGCAGGCGGGCCCGGCGGTCCGGGAGGCCATGGCGGCGACGGCGGCACAGGAGGTTGCGGGGGACATGGCGGCGATGGAATGGCTGATGCCGAAGCCAATGCCTCCGTGTCGGTGTATGCTTTGTTAGTGTGCTGTGTCAGGGCACCGTCGAGACAGGGAGGAGACATGAGCGCCGTCGAGTCTCCGGCTGATTCGTCGCCAGGTCCTCC